TGATTTGAGCAAGTACAAGATGTTATTCACCTCCAGAAAAGGGCTCTGGAGTTGGCTGCTTTCCCCAGATAGGAGTGCTTTGAAGCACCGGAATTTCCCCACATCTCTTAAAGATGAAAATTGAATGAGAACAGCCCCAATGATTTGCTGGGGCACTTTGGTGAGTCAGGGGATCAACAAGGAGTCGTGTGTGTTGTTATTCAGGATTTCATGGTTCTGTCTCTTCATTCCCACTGATCTCCTTTGTGCTGATCCTTGTCAAAACAGGGATTATAACTCATTGTCTGTTCAGATGGAGCCTCTTGGATGAGACCATTACAAGGGAATTGCAAAGATGGTTGTCCCAAATTTCCAAACATTGAATCAGAGCTTTGAGATCCCTACAATGAGCTTAACACCCCAGCATTTTGATTTTGGGCTCCGAACTCTTTGGAAAAATTCTCACACCAAACCTCTTGCCCTGGTTAACTCAGGAAAAAACAGTGCTTCATATTTCAGCTCCTTAAATTCCCCCCTGGATCCCTTTTAATCTTAAATAAACCTCTTACAGTGCATTTTAACCAGTTCTCAGTTCTTCTCTCTGTCCTACTCCACGCCAGTGCCTGCTGTCTGGGGGTGCTCATGCCAATTTATTTTGAATTAAAAGCATTTTGGGCGATTTGTAGTAGAACAAATTGGATCTAAAGGCAGGTTTGCCAGGAAACTCAACATTTCCCTGTGAACCAGGAAGATTAAAACTTTCCAAACAATTTCCAGGCATCCATTTAACCAAGCAGAGGATAGGAATAAACACTGAACCTGTCCCATCATGGATACAACAGGTGAAGGCGACCCAATATCCAACAGAATTTTCTGACAAGAAACTTTCTGTTTGGTTTGGAGCAGAACACCAACCTCGAAAGAGAGCAGCCTTCCATGAGGCTTTTGCAAGGTTAATTTCCCCACCCAAAATTTTACCTACGATTTCCCAATGGAAGAGAGCACCCCAGATGAATAGTACAGCCAAAAAAAAGCAGCAAAAAACAATTTCAAAAAGCAGGAAAAAAAAAAAAAAGGTTCCAAAAGCAGCAAAGAGCAGCTCGGGACTTACCGAGTCGTTGAGTAGAACGAGTGAAGGGAGGATGTTTGGGAGAACCCCAAGTGGAGACAGCTTTTATACACTTCAGACTGGCCTGAGGGCTCAGAGGAGCTCATTAGTTGACACAGAACATTTTTTTTTTTTTTTATTGATTGCTCCTCAAAGTGACGAAATTGTTGCTCTTTCTGTTTGTGTTTATTCTTGATTTCAATTATCGCGTTACGTCACGCCAGGTCCTTTGATCTGAAATGTTGATGGGTGAAATTAGTGCATCTTTCATCCTAAAACATGAATCATTAATTCCTATCAGTTTTCTGGAGTGGCACCATGTACTGAGCTGTTCATACACAAATATTCTTGTCCTGTCTAATAGGAAAATTGTGTTCAGATATTTCCAGAAATTATAAAAATCTTCGAACGCTTTGGGGACACAAATATCCAGGAAATTCTAATGTTTTTTTCTGACCCTTAAGCCACAGCTTAAACTCGAGTTTAGTTCTGAAGGGAGATAAATTTACGATTTTAAGGATCAGGATGGAAAGCTCAAAATAATCAGAGTGTACATCGAATTAATAATTGAATTTATGTTTTATTGAGCTAGCTCCACCTCTGGAAGTGTTCAAGGCCAGTTTGGATCAACCTGGGATAGTGGAAGGTGTCCCTGTCCATGGCAGGGGGTGAAACAAGAGGGTATTTGAACAATTTTAAACCATTCCATGATTCTGTGTAGGAGAAACCCCAAATTTAGCTGTAGTGGGAATAAAAACCCTTTGTTTTTTCAGAGAGGATCTTGCAGCTAATCCCATCTTTCAGCACAGAGCAATTACGAGGTGGGAATCTGCTGGGAAAAGCAAATGTTGGATTTGCTGAGGTTTCTCTCTCTGTTTACACCACAATTGTCCTACTCTATCATTATCATCGTTATCATAATCACCCACGTGGTTCTCTTCACACCATGCATTATTTATGAATTACAAGCTTTTCCAAACCTGGAGATACATATGTGGATTTCCTTGAGCCATTACGTTGGGGAAAAAAAAAAAAAAAAATCCTGTCAAATTTTACAAGAATTCCAAGGGATTTTCAAACACCTTCTGAACACCCATTACTGACTTGTTCCTACTGTGTCAGACTTATAAAACCTGTGCCTGGTTGTAAACACCCCACAATTACAAGAGATTATCACATTAAAATGGATAAATTGAGGCCACTTGGGTTTTTCCCATAATCAGCTCTTGGTTTGTAACTTTGACCTTCCTGTCTTTGACCTTAAGAATAAAATCTATTTCTCACTTTTATTTAAAATGCAGAATGTTGGGTTTGTATCGTGTAAAAATAGGAGGGGAAAACATGAGAAAGGAGAGGAAAGCTCCATGAAACAACTCAGAAAACTCAGTTTCCACGGAATTGTGGCTGCCAGATGAAGTATTTCTGTTTCCAGGGACTGAAAGACAACCAGGAGAGAGTTTAAAAAGGAACATGGAGACTTCTTCTGAGGGATGAATTGGCAGGAAAAGAGGGGATGGATTAAAACTGAGGGAGAGAGGAGGTTTGGATGGGATATTGGGAAGGAATTGTGAGGGTGGGGAGGCCCTGGCACAGGTGATTCCATGGATTCCCCATCCCTGGAAATGCCCAAGGCCAGGATGGACGAGGTGCCCCTGCTCGTGTTGGGGGGTGCCACTGGATGATCTTTAAGGTCTTTTTCAACCCAAACCAGTCCACAAGAACGTTTTATGATAAAAAGTCCATTCAAAAATGCTCCTGCTGATTTTTTTTGCCTTGCCTGGAGTGGGTGGAGGGAGAAATGCTGAGCCTGCAGAGCCAATGCTTTTCCCTTTGTTATTTTTCCTCACTCCTCATTCGAGTTCCTAAAAGAAACCCCATTGGCTCCACGTCTCCTGTTGATCACACTCAAGAACCTTTACCTGGGCAAAACCATGAGTGTCCTCCAATCATCCTAATTATGAAGGACTCGTAAATAAATCAAGTCAGCTTCATTTCCTCCCCTAACGCTGAGGAAAGCAATGGGATCATAAAAAATAATTCCCCACATAAAGCCCGGAGACAATAGAGGTCTGGGCTGGAATGTGCAGCTCACGCTATGTGTGGGTTTGAAGCACACCAGGCAATAAGCAAAGACAATTTCAGCACTTTGAGGAATTATGTGTCCTGCAATTTGGGGTTGGGACCTAATTACCAACTGGAGCATCAGGTGCCTGGTGCCCTCTGGGCAAGCAGGGAGCTCTATAAAAGGTGTCTGCTTCAAGTCCTTCCATCCACTTCTCTCACCTGTTCTGCCTCCGTGAACCAGGTAAGTCACTTTTCTCTCAAACTTCTCAAAATGGAGTTTCCTGTTGAGGAATCTGGTTGTGGTCAGGCTGCTGCTGCTCTCTGTAGGGTATTTGGTGTTTAATTTCTCTTTCATCTCTAAGTCTTGTAGGAGAGGCGCTCACTGAGTGGTGTTGAACACCAAACTTGTATTATTTTAGCACAATTCCAAAGGGTTCCTTGTCTGTATTTTAGGAGATAAAGAATAACCTGTATATGTGGCTATATTTGGTAGAGTTCTGCTGAGTTTGTAACAGGAAAGAAAAAATCTGAGTAGAAATCATCAGCTAAGAGTAATTTAATAGTGAAGAAATTATCCGACCTGGAAATTCAAAGATACAACTGAAGAGTACAGATTGTGTTGGACTGAAGTCAGGAGTAGTCTGGAGATCACAGTGAGAGGAAAAATAGGAATAGGAAACGCATTTAATTCCCGGATTTGTTACCGATACCCTTGGACTGCTTCAGCACAGTTCGCTATTCCTTCAAAATTAATAGAAATCAATTTTCCTCCAGACCAACCTCCAATCCTTACAAGATGTCCTGCTACGACCTGTGCTCCACCGCTGGCTCCGGCGTCCTGCGGCCCCAGCCCCTGGCTGACAGCGGCAACGAGCCGTGCGTGCGCCAGTGCCCCGACTCCACCACCGTGATCCAGCCTCCCGCCGTGGTGGTCACCTTCCCCGGGCCCATCCTCAGCTCCTTCCCGCAGGATTCCGTGGTGGGATCGGCCGGAGCTCCCGTCCTTGCAGCCTCTGGGGCCTCCCTGGGCTACGGGGGATTTGGATCTGGCGGATATGGGGGTTACGGCTCGCTGGGCTATGGGGGATTTGGCTATGGGGGCTCCTCCCTGGGCTACGGGGGTCTGTGTGGATATGGGGGCTCCTCCCTGGGCTATGGGGGTCTGGGCTCGTGTGGGGGGTTCCGTGGCTTGTATGGCTCCGGGAGATCCTTTGGCTCCTGCAGCCCTTGGTCCTCCCGCTACGGCCGCTTCAGCCGTGGCAGCTGCGGCTCCTGCTGAACCCAAGTCGCCAGCAGATGGAACCTGATGGTTCCACAGCCAAGGAGCCTGGAACCACCTCTGCTCCATCCCAGGGCCACGGATCTGTCGCTGTTCGGCCCCTTTTGAATTGCTCCTCTTTCAGCTTCTGCCTTCAAGCTTCTCCCGCCCCGTTTTTGTGTTGCCTGGGGTAAACACGGAACAAAAGGGATCAAAACGGGCCCTGTTTGTTCACACCGACATCTGGGATTTGGAAGAGAACCCGAATCAATCCCACGTGAATTTGCCTCTGGCTGGAGAAGAGTCTCTTGCTTCTTGGAGACTCTGCAAATGCATGGCTTTGCTTATTGTTCATTAAATGTTTGTTGCATCAAAGTTCCCATGTTCTGGTGTTCTGTTCTCCTGGTTTCACCTTTGTTATTTGCCTTTGGGGAAGCCTCACCTGTGCAGGTGCCAGTAACAGCCTAAAATATCCTGGAATCTTGGAATGGTTTGGTTTGGGAGGGATCTTAAAGCTCAACTTATTCCCACACCTCTCACTGGCCCAGGTTGCTCAGAGCTTCATCCAACCTGTCCCTAATCCATGGACATGAATGTCTTGCCCAAAAATCCGGGGAAGATTTCATTTCAGTATGAATTTCTTCCAGGTAAAGCTTCCATCTCTTTGGGCTCCAAGTTCTGACTCAAATATTTCCTCAGTCAAATGTTTAAACTCTGCCCTCAGGAATAAGCTCGGCAGGAAGTTAAATCAATTTCCTGACAAATCTTTAAATAAAGATTTCTGGGCCACAGAGTGGAACTTTGAAATCTGAGATGTTTCTGTATAATCATGAAATGGAAAGTGTTGGATGGTTTTTGACAGATAAAACAGTTCCTCGAAGGATTCATTCACACCAGCAAGAAAAGCTGGAGGAGAGAGAACCTGGGAAAACGGTACCTGGAAAAATGAGGAGGTAGGAACTATCTTAACCTGTGAGCAAATCCCCCCTTCTCTGCTCTGGTGAGATTCCTCCTCCCAGGATCTACAGGGAAGATGGAGAGAGACTTTTCTTTGGGAATGGGAGTGACAGGACAAGGGAGAAGGAATTCAGACTGACAGAGGGCAAATTTAGGTTGGAGATTGGGAAGAAATCTTTCCCTGTGAGGATGGATAACCTGGCACGAGTTTTCCAGGGAATTTCTGGTTGTCCCATCCCTGCCCCAATGCCAGATCTCGTGGGAGCTGTCCTTGCCCATAGTGGGGAGTGGAAGGAGAAGATTTTTAGGGTCCTTTCAATCCAACCCATTCCAGGAGTTCATGACTCTGTGATGTTTTTATTGTGGCCCAGAACAGTTGGGGAGGGAGGATTCCTGCTCCCAAATTCTGGATGAAGGAACAGTGGCTGGTTTCACCCCCAGCTGGGACATTCCAGGTGGTTTGGGAGTCTGAACCGCAGCCAGTTGTAAGGATATGAATTTCCCCCCCCATACAGAGAGAAGTGTTGCAAGAGAAATTAAAACTAAAACTCTGTTGTTTTTTTTTTTGCAGAACAGAATGGCTTTAATTGAGAAAAAAGCATTCACAGAAAAGCATGGCAGAATATGAAGAAGATCAGGTCACAGGCAACTCCTTCCGTGGTTGCTCTTCTCCAGCTGGACGGTGAAGTTGCATTTCAGAAGAATATAAATTATTGCTTTATCCTACATATTACACACACAGATGGAAAAATAAAAAAGCCCAGCAGATGACAAGCAGAAGGTGAATAAATCAAGGAGGAGCTGTGTGCTTCCAACTCCACCAGAGTGGGGTGGTCACAGCATCTCCTCTGGGGCCAGGATTGCATCTCTCCATTGCCAGTTATTCCTTAATCTGGGATATTCCCCGAGGCTTCAGCAGGACCCCCAGAAGCCGCGGCCGTAGCGGCCGGACCAGGACGAGTAGGGGCTGCAATAACCAGAGCCAAAGGCTCTGCCAGAGCCATACAGGCCACGGTAGCCCCCACACGAGCCATACAGGCCCCCATAGCCCCCATACCCATAGAGACCCCCGTAGCCCCCATATCCATAACCCCCATATCCATAGAGACCCCCGTAGCCCAGGGATCCGTAACCCCCGTAGCCCAGGGAGCCGTAGCCCCCGTAGCCCAGGGAGCCGTAGCCCCCGTAGCCCAGGGAGGCCCCAGAGGCTGCAAGGACGGGAGCTCCGGCCGATCCCACCACGGAATCCTGCGGGAAGGAGCTGAGGATGGGCCCNCGGCGGGAGGCTGGATCACGGTGGTGGAGTCGGGGCACTGGCGCACGCACGGCTCGTTGCCGCTGTCAGCCAGGGGCTGGGGCCGCAGGACGCCGCAGGCAGACGAGGGGTACAGGTCGTAGCAGGACATCTTGTAAGGATTGGAGGTCGACAGAGGCTGAAAAAGAAGGCAAGGACTTCAAAATTCAGCAGCGTACGTTAAAATAACAAGCAGAGTGTTCTGAGTATTCCCCACTCAGCCTTCTCTTTTTCCAAAATGTGGTTTCTTTTTCAAAAATTCTCCAAACAGCAGGAGCAAGTGGGAAATGCTCTGAAAACCTTATCCCTCATAAGATCCTGCAAAGAACTTATTTCTCAACATTAAACTGAAAACCGGGAAGAAAAAGCAGCAAGAGCAAAGTGACTTTGTCCAAGGTCATTGGATGAGTCATTAGGAAAACTCGGATTTGGGTTCAGCAGGTTTGCATGAGATGGAGCTTATAGAGAACTTAATTACAGTAGCTTCATCTTCCCACTCATCCCAGTTTTGCTGAGAGTCAAGGGAACAACAGATTATAGGATTGTGAGTGCCTGGTTTTCCCAGCAAAGGATCTGACGAGACAATAAAGAACAAATCTCTAACGATGTTCTGTAAATCCTTAACAGAGTTTTGAGGAGGAACTTGAAAGGGAGAAGGTGAAGGAGAGCCTGAGGATTTTCGGTGGCAGGAAACACAAATGAGTTTGTCACGTGTGGACGGCACCAGGGGTGACACCCTGGTCAAACCTTGAACGATTTATGGAAACCTTGAGGTGGGAAAAATGTACCAAAGTGAGGACCAGAAAATCACAGGCTTCCTCAATCTGGAAGTGACTCAAAAGGCTCAAGTCCAACCCCCTGCTCTTTGAAGGATTATTTAGAACTAAATCAGAGAACCTTGGAATTTCCTGGCTTGGAAGAGATCTTAAATCCTATCCAGTCCCACCCCCTGCCATGGGCAGGGACCCCTCCCACTATCCCAGGCTCCAAGCCCCGTCCCAGTTGACTTTGGACACTCTCATGGATGGAGAATCCATGGAAAATCCCTTCACAGGGAAGTATTTCTTCCTGATATCCAACCTAAATTTCCCCTCTGTCACCTTGACCCCATTCCCTGTGTCCTGTCCCTGCAGTTCCTGAGGAAAAGTCCCTGGAGCCCCTGGAGATCCTGGGAGGGGCTCTGGGGTCTCCACAATCTCAACATCCCCAACATTCCCAGCCTGGATCCGCAGGGAATGGGCTCCAGTCACCTCAGTCTGGTGTTCCTGACACCAAGAACTCCACAGGGCTCCACACACCAAAAAAGTTTTTTCTGCCACCCCACAGACAGAAAGGTCCTGAATCTTTCCCAAGTCCACACAGATTCACCCAACAGAGAGGATGTTGGACACCAACTCGAGCTGAAGCCAAGAATAAAAAACGCAAGAGAGAAGATTCAGACTTACCCAAGTCTCCAAGAGGTCAAGGGAAGCGTTTGGAGGAGCGAGGATTCAGAGGAGCTTTTATATCAGCTGGAGGTACCAGATCAGCACCTCTCGCCCGCCCCAATTTCAAACTCATGCAACCACCGGGGTGATGAAATTGTTTGGTTCATTATTGGCGTTTATGAGGCCTTTCAAATTTGTTTGTAGTAATGATCTAAACATCACCTGAGATTATAGAGAATTCTTTCATCTCGTGATGGCTTGCGGGGGGGAAATTAATACCCGGCGTTATTCCTGTCACTTCCTTGGAATTACATCAGGAATCGCCAAGCCAGCTCCTCGTGGTATTGACTGAACACCTGGAGAGTGGCTCATGGGTTTATCAGCATCAAAAATTGCACAGGAATTTAATCCTGAGCAGGAAACACGGTGAAATCCTGAATTCTGGCCAAGTCCAGAGGGTTCCATGGAGGAGACAGAGAGGAGCTTTTGTCTTCCTGAGGCTGGTTTGGGTTCAGGAGATAAACAGGGAATTAATTCACAAAGTTATCTGAAGCCACAAAGGGATTGGAGGTCCTGAAGAGATTTTTTTTCCCCAGGTGTTGGTGGTCCAAAGACAGTCCCTGGGAACATTGAACTGGCCTGAGGAAACTTGGGAATTTTTAAGGAAAAATTGATCCCCCCGTGCAAAAGCCAAAATGTGACGGAAGTGCTTTGAATTATCACCTCGAGTTGTTAGGAATTCATGAGCTTCTGTGATACACAAGTCATAAATCCGCAAAAGGGCTGAGCTGGAAGTTTCTGGGATGAGGGAAGAATCAGGAATTTGGAATGTTGTGACGCAAAGGCTCCTTCTTGCCTCGTTTACGGACGGGACATTTTAATATTGCAGACTCCACGCCGCACGTGATCCCTAAATGGTGAGGTGGGGTTCTCAGCCTTTGGGGGGCACGGGGAGGTTTTGGACAATAATCTTTTCAAGCTTCCAGGGAGCAAGTCCATGCAAATCCTGTGGATGATCCAGTAGATTAAAGGAGCTGGATTTAGGTGTCTCACAATTATGGAATGATGTCACATTCAAACACCTCACTCAAGATATTTTTTTGTCCTTGGTATCATCAGTTCAAGGGCGAGTACTGGGGGTTTGTGCCCCTTCAGGTTTTTTCCCCAATGAGAAAGAATTTGAAGCAAAAAAATCCGAATAAAACAGGGAATTTCATGAGTACTTTATCCAAAACAATTCCAGGCATGGGGCAACCACAGGCTCTGCTCCCAGGGAAGAAGGGGCAGGAAAACAAGGAATGGCTTTGGGTGGGGGTCGGTCACAGCTTGGACTCGATGGTCTTGGAGGGCTTTTCCAACACAAATAATTCCAAGTTTCTGTAACAAAAGCCATCTAAGGACCACTGGATGCTTTCCATGCCTTCCTTTGGCTTCCATTTTGTCCTCACATTAAGAGTTGAGACTGATAATGATAAAAATGACGACCCCAAAGTTGCTCTAGATCATTTTATCTCCAAGTTTTTGGGTTTTTTTTCAAACGGAAAAAAAATCTCTGCCCACCAGGCGACCCCGAGCGAGCAGATGGGCTTTGCCATTAATGATGGAGAAGCTCGGGAAGACAGTTGGGATAATTCCTGATGGAACACCGTGGCTGTGGACGGGATGATAACAGGAATGAAGATGATTTGTCACCATTCCAGATGAAAGGAGGGCCCCGTGACGAAAGGCACCCGCCACGTTTCACGAGACCTCGGAGCAGCAAACAAACAAAGAGTCAGCAGAACTTTGAGGACCTACGTGTCGCATTCATTTGGGGTTTGCCCCAATTATGCACATCCCCAAATTGCACCTTAGATGATCCCCGGGATCTTGGGGATGGTATAAAAGCTCTCCCAACCCAGGGCTCCTCACTTCGCCTTCCTCGCTTCATTCACCTCCCTGAGAAAGGTAAGCACCATCCTAAGGGATCTCTTCCCTTGGAATATTCCCTTGGAAAATTCCAGTCTCTCTTTCCTTCAAGTTCGGGATCATCCGTAAGGATTCTAAGATTCTTAATAATCAGATTATTTTGTGACGCATTTATTTTTGTTCCATGGGTTTGAAATTATGGAATCATTCTTTCTTGCTAGTAGAGCAGCTTCCAAAATCTTACAGAAGGTTTGTTCGGCCAACAAGAATTTTTTTTATGGGTTATATCATGAAAGTTCTTGGTATTTGTGTGGTAGAAGCTTAAGGGTCAGTCAGCCCTAAGAGGAGAAGCTGAGGGAGCTGGAGAGGCTCAGGGGGAATTTCTGAGTCTCCACAACTCCCTGAAAGGAGGCTCAGGTTGGACACAGGAGGAATTTCTCCCTGGGAAAGGCAGCTGTGGTAGGAGAGGCTACAAAAGGTGGCGGAAGAAATTTACAGAGGCTGGAAAAGACCTTTGTGTGGTTTTGGCAGAAAAAAGAAATGTTTTTAGATGGGAATGACGCACCAGAAATTAGGAATGAGACCCCAGGAGAGACAAGAGCTCAGAGTGCAAGGGATTTACAAAAACACCGATGAGAAGGAAAGACAACCAAGACTTGAGACATAACAATTCTTTTCATCCACATCCGCCAACTCTCAAGCCTTTTAACCCTTGAATTTCTGTCTTTTGCTCAATCCTCAGC